CAGAAAGAAAGAAAGAAAGAAAGAAAGAAAGAAAGAAAGAAAGAAAGAAAGAGAGAGAAAGAGAGAGAAAGGAAAGAAAGAGAGAGAGAGAGAGAAAGGAAAGAGAGAAAGAGAGAGAGAGAGAGAGAGAGAGAGAGAGAGAAGAAAGAAAGAAAGAAAGAAAGAAAGAAAGAAAGAAAGAAAGAAAGAAAGAAAGAAAGAAAGAAAGAAAGAAAGAAAGAAAGAAACTCACAGATTTGGCCCATAATAAGATAGGTTGGACAGGTATGCAATTAAGTAAGTTAAGTAAAACATCGCAGTGCAAAATTCGTGTTCTATTTGTTCCATAAAAGTCAATAAAAAAAATGCTTACTGGCTTTAACAAAGATAGATTTAATCCCAAAACCTGAACTATTTACACAAACCAGTTAAATTTTAGTATAATATGTCTAAATGTATGTTTTATCAAGACACTTTTATGTTTTGCTGGCCCCTTTATCTTGTGTCAACCAAAAATTCATAATACCAATTTTGACTGAAGGCTGGCTTTAATTACAATTTCTTTTACAGGTCTCAACTGCTTTTTGTATCCTGGGAAATGAGAGCAGTTCTTTCTACCATAGTCGAAAGAAAATGAAAAGGTTGGTAAATGTATAAGTAATTTTAACTGATTCATTGATCTGAATACTTTTAAAGTAATACAGTAAGTATTTCTGTCACACTTTGAAGTTAAGCTTAGAGCTCAGTTACATCCCTTAGGGTTATTTTATAGCCATTAAGAATGTGTACCTTTTATCTGGTGCCTTCAATTAATTGAATTTCAAAAATATTCTCAAATGTTTTTAGAAAATCATTTAGTTCCTGGAGGACATTCCTGTGTGATTTATTGTTACAGTAATTAAAAGCAGTGAGTATTACACTGGTCACTGTTGGAACTCCTGTCTGCCTTTGGCTATATTTTGGTTTAAGTTAAAACATATAGTGTACTTGAGAGACTTGTGAAGGAAGGCAAGAAAAAAAAAATTAATTCTTTTCAGATTGCTTCAGAATTTTGGCACACTCAGAAATAACCTCTTAAAGTGATCACAGTGATATTTACATGATAATTATATGCAAGCACAATTAAGCTTCTATATTAAACAATTAAATAATGCTTTTCCTGCTATGGTAAATTATTCCTGACTACCCATATTAGTATTCTGTAGTTCTAATCGGTGCCATAAATAATTTTCAGTTTTACACATTCTGCTCTGAAGCAATTATTAAGAGCTCTCAGGAAGAGTTAAAACAGCTAATGAAAATAATTAGCAGGAAAAAAAAATGTTGGTTCATCCTGCATGGAAAGATAACCCTAAGCACAAACTACAAATGCTTCTTTAATTGCATCATTGTTTTCTGAGGCGTACACAGTTCTTGTCTGTAATCCCTTCTGTGCAAGGAGTGATCGCCCGCAAGTAACATCTTATGGCACTACTTGTGCACGGGAAGATCTCTGGGATCGGACCCACAGCCCGCTTCTCTTTAGTTGTGTAACATGGAGGAAGGACCCAGCTCCTGTCCTGCTTCCCTGGAGCTCCACCTCAGCAGTGCTGCTCACCTGAGTGAGGGCTGCAGGCTCCCTCCCTGCTCAGTGTAAGGAGAACTTGGTCCTACTGACTTACCCAATATCTTCTGCCTTTTGGGGGTGTCCCTTGTCCCTTGGGGACCAGTGTCCCTTGGTGTAGCTCAGCTTTTAAACAACGAAAACGAATCTCCTCTCCTACTAAAAGATAATCCTCTCCAGCCATATATTGAGTACACTAAGACAGCCTTAACTACTTCTCTAACCACAACGACATTTTTTTTCTACCACAGAATAGCCGTTTTCTCAAAATCATGAGTTCAAAAGTAGAATTATTGTAACACTTGCTTAGAAAATTGTTGAAAAAGAAGCATATATATTTACAGCCTACAAAAGAGTCAGATGACCAGACAAGTCTGAAAATAGATGCCTTTTATCAGCATGAGTGCATATTTACAAATAAAAGTGTAGTTGTACAGATTCTGACCAGTGCAGGTCAGTGCCAGATAAACATTTCACATATAAATGTACTGCTGTCATTGTTCACAGTAATAACCTCCCCTTTTAATAATCCATCCCTTTTACACTGAAGTGCCTAAAGGTTTTCTAATGTGTATCAGTCTTTTGAACATTATATAATCAATTTAATGCAAGAAAAGGAAAAGAAATGTACCTGTACAGATCCTTGCACATTAAGATAAACCTTGCTCTGCTGAGGAAAGCAAAATCAGATGAGGACAAAAACTGTTTCAAAGAAAATATGATTTTTCTCCATGTATTTACTACATTCTAAATTGCATTGGATTTTGTGTGTGTGAAATTGTTCTAGTTATGTAGATTATCTGGGAGGTTTCATGATTAAGCTAATGTTTTTCTAAGACTTTCATGAGTTATGAAACAAGCAGTAGTATATTATTCCTTGACTGGGTGTGATTTAATAACCTCAAGAGTAAAATAAAGGCCAAAAAAAAAAAAAAAAGTAAGAGATCAAGCTAGTGTTTTCTCTTATCTGATCTCTTAGAAAGTAGGCCTTCAAAGAACAGCCACTGTGCTGCCGGAATTGACACTTGCAATTAAATGATATTCCTTTTCTGAATGGAAGTACATGGTGCTATCACCAGTGCTGTTTGTCTAATGACATGGAAAATTAAGGTTTTTAACCACTTGCTATCGTTTAGTGATGGCCTTTTCACAACAGAGAGGGCATTGATCTAGCTACAGAAATGGAAAAGAATGCCAGGATACACAATCCCAGCTCCATTTAGACTATGAAAAGAGCACCTTTTAATAGTTTAAACATTAAAACGATTGGAAACTCAGCATTAAAAAGAAAGGGAGAAAGAGAAGCTGTATTAACATCATGAACAACATAAAAAAAATCAACAAATGCCCTTTGAGCCACCAGCCCTTCTCTGTGATTTTTTGACTGTTTTTGCTTTGATTGCAAGCACCTTCTGTGATTTATTGGTAGCCAGTGTCCCCTCAGTAGATGTGTCCTTCAGGTCACTATGGTTGACTTACATAAACATCTAGTGGGAACTCAGCTCTACTTGGCTGGGTCACCCTCCTCCCACCCAGGTAGGCCGGTCTTTCTCAGAGAGCAATCCTGCCTTGTGGTGCAAGGTGGAATGGATCGAGGTGGAAATGAGCAGCAATTTCTGAGGTGTGCAGGTCGACATAAGCAAAATGAAAAAGACAGAGTGTGCTTGCTTCCTCTCACCATCACTGGCACAGTAAAAAGGTTGCACCCGTGCAACTGAGGTTGATGTATTCCATAAAATACCTGTTAGCTCACTGCCACGGATGGTAGGTGCTAATGAGATAAATGGCTTTCTGAACATTGCCTCCTGCCCTTGAACACCTTCAAAGGGGCAGTGGGAAGGGGCAGCACCCAACAGCCACAGATGTCCCCCCAGTCCCACTGCTCTGCACCCGTGGGGCACCCCTGACCCCGGTACCACTCCCGGCGGTGTCATCATTTTGGGGGGTGTCACCATTTTGGGGGGTGTCACCATTTTGGGGGATGTCACCACGGGCTCGGGCGGGAGGGCGGCTGGAAGGGGTCCCGCGGAGAGGGGCAGAGGAGCCCGGGGCAGCCCCGACGGACGGGCGTCCAGCGGGGGAGGAAGGGATGCCCCGGATCCGCTAGAGACAGCGCCTGCAACTCCTGGGCTGCCGGCTGGTCTGGAGAGGGCTGGAAGGTCGCAGAGGCCAGCCGGGAAGCGGAGCGGTGCCCCGTCCCCCTGATCCTCCCCGTCTCGGCTGGCCCCGGGCGGGTAACCCCGGCGTCCCCGCCGCCGCGGGTTAGCTCCCTGCTTTAACATGCAAAGGTCCGCTACGTGATTGGCTTTCTGCTTGCGAGCGCGGATGGGGGAGAAGGCGCACGTTGTCTTTCTCCGTGTGGTTTCCCCGCCTTGGAAGCCGCAAGGGCAATCCGAGGAGGGAGAAAGGGGAAAGAGAATAGGGTTTCCCACTCTCAACATCCATCAGATTTCCCCTGTCATTGCACTACAAGGTGCAACGTGTGTCGAACATTACGAGCATGGGGCCATGCAAATGACACGGGCATGAAAGAGCCCTGGCAAGAATAAATCTGTCGATGTACAGATGTTCCCTATTAACGTTATTGTTCAGCCTTGGTGGTTACGGTGGGAAGGCACCGGCTCAAAAATCCCCGCTGCCACCCCACCTCTCCCGAGCCTTTCTCCCCACACCTCTTTGTCTTCGCTTAATTAGCTAGGGCTATAATATTCTCCTTTTCTCCTCCTCCGTCTTATTGAGACGTCTGCCCGGGCTTATGCCTTTAAAGAGAAACGATATCGATCCCTCCTCCCCCTTCTGTCAATCCCGATTTGTCCCTTTTCGCGCTGCACAAACAATTAAGCCAAGAAAGTCGCGGCCGCGCCGCAAAACTTAGCGCAAGACCGGCCCCCGGAGGGGACTGCACGGGGGGGCAGCAGCGGACACCGGGGAGGGTTGGGGGGGTTCTCAGCCCGAGTCCGGAGAACTCCGCAGCAGAGAGGGGCGGCAGCCGGACGGACCGACGGACGGCCGGAGAGCAGCAGCTGGAGCAAGCGCTCCTGCTCCCGACCCGCCTGCGGCTGTCGCCCCCCCCGGGGGAAGCCCCCGGTGACCAGGCAGCCCCCTCCGGCTGCCCCCGGGCCGGGGGGCGACGGCGGGGCCGGCCCCCGGGGCTGCGGGACCGCTGCGGGACGCGGGTCCCCGGAGCCGGGGGGGCCGCGCTGCGACGCCCCCCTCCGCCCCGCGCCCCCTCCGTCCAGCACAGCCCCGGCAAGCGCGGCGGAGCCTGGGTCCGTCGCGCCGAGCCCCGGCTATGCCCAAAAGTAAGGCCAATAGGTGGCCAGGTGCGGGGACGCGGAGGCTGGCGCCTGCGTCCGAGCCCACCTCCGGCAACGGGAGGGAGACAAAGACGGCGGGAGAGGCAGAGTTGCCCGTAAGTTTAGCGCCAGCGCAGCCTTGAGCCGCGGAGATAAATGGGAGCTCGGAGGTGCGCGCACTTAATCACGGCGCCGGCTGCCTTCCAGCGTGTGCAACCCGCCGATCATTAGGTTAAATGGAGGACATTCGTGTCCTTCCCGAATCAATGCAATTATTGTTGGCAACGAGGACAGCAATTGGAGTGGCAGCGCTAATTTTACTAACCTGCTATTAATTATGGTGTCCCCCACGCCCCAGACGGCGTTTATAACCCGAGGAGGCAAGCAGTGCTGGCTGCTGCTGTTTTAAAAGGAAAAGTTGGAACCCGAGCGCCTGGTCGTGTTGGAAAGTGTTAATCAGCAGGAAAGAGTGTGATCAGTGGAGCTATTCACTTGAACGTCACTCTAGTACAGGGGGTTAGTGAAGTGATTGTGGCGCCTGGGGACCGAAGGCACTGTGCCACTCCAGTCAGGTATTATACACTGAGAAATGTCTACATTAGTTCTCCGTAGCTCCCTGCAAAGTGAGCCAGCGCAGACAAGAGGAGAGAAGCCCTGCCATGGCACAGCTCTCGCTACGAGGTTTTAGCCGAAGCCTGGTGTGATCGCAGGTAAAAAAAAAAAAAAAAAAAAAAAAAAAAAAATCTCCTTGTTTTGGTGGTGATGCTTGTGTGTGTCTGTCTGTCTCTACGGAAGCGGGGAGGAGGGGGGCGGTGGGGTTTATTTTTTTCCCCCCTTCGGAGCCTGCTCTAGCAGCAAGGCAGCTGAAAACGAACTGCTGGAGGGAAGAGAAACTATCTGTGATGAATCATTTGGCTTTGTGCAATCTTTACCTAGGAGAGAGGGCAAATGTAATTTAACATATGTGTTATTTCTTGGGAAGGGGGTGTGGATATGATATTCAGCGAGCGCTAAGGTAAGGTACCGAGTCAAACTTTCTGGATTTTAAGACAAACTTTAAAGGGAATAGGATTTGACCTTGCACGTAGGAAAGTTTTCTCTTCGCACAGAAGTACGCTCAAGCTGTCTGCTGCCAGGCAGCTCGAAGGCGGTGGCGTTTGAATGCCTACGAGTCTGCGGCGCTTGGGGTGCAGGAGCTGGAAAGGGAAACCTCGAATAATCTCTGCTTGGCTAGGGAAAGGGTAGTTGTACGCTCTGCACCGGGCAGGTAAACGTGGATGTGCGGCAGGGTCCATCTAGCCCCACAGCGGCTGCCCAGGTCGCAGCATTTGCTTATTCTCTTGCTGAAAAGTTTTGGGGGGTGAGAGTGAGCGCGCGTGTGTGTGTTGGCTCTAGTCCTTCAGTGTGAAAAGTTAATAAATACAAAGAACAGAGTGAGCATGTGAGGCCTTTCTGCTTTAATCTAGATTGTTTGCCAAGAGGATTGAAGACTACAAAATGAAAGCATTCAAACGGATAGCTTGGTACAACCGCTTTTACACGTAGTTGTAATCTGCGTGAATTAATTAGCGGCGCCTTCTTATGCAACTGTTGTGTTTGTCATCATAGTTGTGCTGGTCACAAGCCATTATGTGGGCTGGTGCAGGTAGGCACCACCGACTCGCTGCCCCCCGATTTGCAGTGCAGTGTAGGCAATCACACCTCAGGTGGGCTCTAAAAACACCTCGCGCCTACTGGCGATACCGCCTTCCTGGGAGCTAATCTACTTGAAAATGTTGCAGGCTGCCCTCGGTTCCATGTCAGATCCCAAATGGGCAACGTGTAGAGCTTCACGGCGTTTGTCAGACGGTGTCAAGGTTGCTTTAAATCTTTAACGTGAAAACAAAGCAAACTCGGCTGAAAGCGCCTGCTGAAGTCTGTTTAGCCCATAAGCAAATTCCGTCGCTGAAATATTTCCAGGAGTGGCAATAACCCCTCGGAACGAGGAGGTGATGAAAATGCAGATAGCAAAACTGTAGCTGCATTAACTGCCTCTAGATCATGTCCCTGAAGACGTCCATCAAAGCGTTAGTCCTGACGCGGTTCTCTGTTTTACCTGCTGTGGCCTGTTCCAGTATCACAGCGTTTCCTTCTAGTTTCGTGTTTTTATGATAAAACTTGCATGAACGTTGGCTCCAGCTTCCCGGGGAAGAAGCACGTAACCCTGGAAGATGTACTTAGTTTGGCTTTGGTGCGAAAATATCCGCTCTTCTGGGTGCTCAGGCTGACTCTTACGAGAGGGAAACCCTGCAGCGCTCCGTATCGATTGCCATGGCTTTTACTTTCTCAAACTTTGGAGAAAGCACGGCGTGTATATCTTTCTGGTGTGCTGTTGACTCTTTTGTACGGGAAAGGGGCTTTGACAAGGAACAATTTTTATTGCACAGCAAAGGCTTGCATTTTCCAAGTGCTTAAGGATATAGCCCACAGCATTAAGCGTCTTTACTTGGATTTGAACAGTGTTACGTTGTTTATGTGCAAGAACCACAAAGGTTATTTTAAATCATTGTGGGGCTTATTGCATGTTTGTGCTCTGGCACCAAAAATTCAAGATGAAATATAACTCTGTTGGGTTTCTTATCAACAAAGGGCCATTATTTGTAGATTGCAAGTGAAACAAGATGTGAACGCCTTAGGAAGATGTAATGTCAGTGTTTAAATATTAAAGGAGGTTGTTGTTGTTGGTTTGTTTTTTGGTGGTGGTGGTGGGTTTTTGTTTTGTGTTTTTATGACTACTTCCTAGGGAATACAGATTAGAAGTAGCACAATGCTGACCGGGTGTAAAGTATTAAAGCAGGCAAGCTGCAAATTACAATGACAAATAATTATCATTATTAATCCAGGAAAGTTCGGTTCAAAAACGGGCACCAGAGTATTTGCGTGGGGCAGGGCAATGAAAGACAACTGTGATATATAAATAGACAAGGACTATAAGTATTGAATTTTACCTTGTATTTTAAAGTTTAATAGACTCATCTAAATATCAAAACCCATAGTGTTCTGCGGGCCACTGCAGTTGACATCTGCAGTAGTATCAAAAGAAGGTGGGGGGGGGGTGGAAACACAACGGGACGTTTCCCAAACTGCAGCCTGGAAAACTGCGAGGACTTCTCAAGGCAGTTCTCTAGCTCTCTCAGCTAATTATAGTGCTTTACCCTGAGCCACTCTTGAGATAAGTGCAACTCTTTTCTTCCCTAGCACCGGTGAGTTATACTCCAGGGCTTAAATAAACAACCCCCAGCGTAATCAGCATAGGAGGCAGAGTGAGCAGTACCCAACACTGCAGGCAGACCATTGTGTAAACACTGGGTGTCTTTTCTTCCAAAACAATGCAACAGCCCGGCAGCACGATGCACAGAAGGAAGCTGCTTGTAAATAGTAACTTAAACTACCATTATATTCTGGCAGCACCGGGTCGCAGAAGGAATAAAGAAGCGTTTCTGTAACAGAAACCCAATGGCTAAGTTATTAATATTCCCGGGAAGAAGAAGAAATTAGCAGTTCAGGTGAGAAAAGGATAAGCACTTTTCCCCCCCCTGCCCGAAATCAATACGGAATTCAAACTCGATTATTAATGTCATTTGATTCCCGTTCTTCATACGTTTCTCCCGGCTACAGATAGCAAGCTGTCAGGATAATTTGCATGTACTGTATCTGATATCTTTTATTTGCAAACACTCTGAAGCGCCATAAAGCACCGCTCGCTGTAGTCTAACTCAATCCGAGAACTAGTATTTTCATCTGTAAATTAAAGCAATTACGCAGCAGATATTATATTATGTGTACTGTGGTCTCCAGATAGTCATCAATCACCCTCAATCGAGCTGTCAGTGTGGGCAGATTCGTTTCTGGGAGGCAGTCTTCCAGCTGGGGAGAAGAAGAGAACATCATCATTAATTAGAGTGTGACCCTGGGGCTATTCACATGTCTGAACCCAGGAATCTCTCTGAGCAAGTCTGCACACCGCGGAGCAGCGCTCAGCCCCGTCCTCCACTTCCTCCGCCCGCCGTCGGCTGCGGCCGTCGGGGGGAGAGGGGCTGCCGGAGCCCCCCGACGGCCGCCTCCGCAGGGCGGCAGCACGGAGCCTGCCCCTCCGGGGGGCTGTGGGGGGCTCTGCCTGGTTAAGGAGGGGGACACGGCCCCCACAAAAGGCGACTTTGGGGAAAGGAAAGGAAGGGGGGCGGTGCGGGAGAGGCGCCCGCCCCATCGGTTCTGCTCTGAGGTCCCGCTGCGCCCTGAGGGTGCTACCCCGGACCCCACCGCCAAAGGGTCCCGAGGGAAGCTCCGCTCTGCCGGGAACCACCGGCAGAGAGATATTTGTTCCCCTGTAGGAAGCAGCACTCGGCACGTCGGGGCATTGCCCCCCCCCTGCTATAACACCCCTCTTTCAGCCGTGTCCACTTGGGAGCACGCAGGCAGGCTGGATGGGGCCCTCAGCGAAGGGCTGGCTTTTCCAGCGGAGGTTTGCGACGGCACCCGAGTCGTTTTAACGTGAAAAGTCACGTCCTTCAATCACTCCCTGGAATACGCTCGTAGGGTTTTCTACCTGTAATCACACGCCGGGAATAAAAGCTGGAAAAGAAACGCAGGGTTGCATGTCATGTGCTTTATTGTCAGCATTAGCGCTAATTTTAACTGTTGATTAAATCTTAAATGAAGACTCAGTCGTGTGTCCCTTCATATGTCTTGTTTGTAATTGAGACTAATTATTACTGTGGGGTGGGAAGAAGCAGCTGCTCATTAATTAATTTCTAATTAAAAGTGCTTACCATCCCTTCAGTGACGAAGGAGGTCGGGGGGAAAAAAATCTTAGCTGATAGGACATTGATTCTTCAGGTTGAAACCATTCATTTCCTTCCCAAAGAAATTAATATAGATATGTTGCGAACAGGCATAGCTGGTGCTGGAGCGCTTTCCAAACTTTCGCTCCTGTTAGGCAGCCTGAGAGAGATGCTAGAGAGTCTGTTTTCCACGGCAGCTCAAAGACTCCCGAAAATGAATGTTAAACTTCCAGGCAAGGTAATTTGAATAGGTTTTACGTGACGTCAGAGGCTCGGCTCCTGTAAAACAACGTGGTTCTGACGTGATGTGCTTGTTCTACTTTTCGTTGCCCCTTTTTTTTCTCCTCCTTTCCCTTTCCGTGGGTGCAAAATATGTGTTTCTGCAGTCACGTTTGCCAGCCTCGCAGCCCTCACGTAACAACTATTTCTGTGTCGCAGCTGTACAGGCGAACTTGCTAAAATTACTATACGTCTTCTTTTTTTTCTTTAGTTAAAAAAAAAAAGTTCAAAAAATCATGTAAATAAATTAAATGTGGTTTTCTGCTTCGTCCTATAAGCATCTAGGGACCTGTGGTTACCAATCAATTGGTACAATAGAGCAGAGCAAGGCTGCAATAGCGTGCAGATCAGACGTCTCGCCTTGTTTCTAGATAACTGGGAGCCTCTGTACCATGTCATATCCTCAGTTTGGCTACCCTTACTCCTCTGCACCCCAGGTAAGACTTTTGCCTACAAACGTTAATTGATTGAATTTCAGTCATTATTGATCACTTCCGTTCAGTGCTAAAAGCTGCAGCGATCCTTTCTAGCATGCGAGAGCGTGAAATCGGTTACTCACTCAGCATGCCTGGATGATGCCTAAGTTATATCTTGTGCCCTTGTTTTGAAACGGGGAGGCACACTCGGGATTTAGGGTCTTTCGGGGTGATAACGATGCGTGGGGGACGATTACAGAGATGAGCGAGGTGAGAAAAGGACCAAGAGATCCCCCAGCCCCCACCCGCTCTCTCCCCCGAGCGCTTTTTTTTTTTTTTTTTATCTTTCCCGATTAAATCTACAGTTTACCAATTAAACACGAAAGTACTGAGGGCTGAACTGCAGAAACATAATGGGCTATTCTAAAACAGCAGGTTAATAAAAGATGCGTGCATGGCCGCTACAAATCTGCAGTCAAAATAAATATGCATGAGTGATATAGAGGGAAAAAGAAGAAGAAGAAAAAAAAAAAAAAAGGTTTAAAAATGCAGATGGGAAGCATTGTGCCGCAAGAGGGGAAAAGCGGTGTAAACCCCGTCTTGTCAGAGCACACCGGGAAAGTTGGGCTTTAAACGCAAAGGGCTGGAGCAATGCGTTACGGCGGATTAAACGCCTACAGGCACGGGGTGTTTGGTGGTGGTGGTTTTTTTATTATTATTATTATTGTTTTTTGTTTTAACTGATAAAGTACTGGCACCTCTGTTTTAACGTTTTAACCCCCAAAGCAAAACACGCGAGGGGAGGAGAAGCAGGGAGATGGGGTGGGGGAGGGAGGAGGGAAGTGGGGGGGCGACACCCCAAAGCCGCAACCGTGGCGATCAAAGTTAGTTTCAGGTGCCGAAGTTTGCCTCCCCGCCCTGAGCGCTCCTCTCTCTCCCCCCCCCCAGTTCCTGATGAGCACCAACTCCCTGACGACCTGCTGCGAGTCCGGCGGCCGGACACTGGCCGAGACGGGGGCGGCCGCCTCGGCGCAGACCCCGGTCTATTGTCCTGTGTACGAGAGCCGCCTGCTCGCCACCGCCCGCCACGAGCTCAACTCCGCCGCCGCCCTGGGGGTCTACGGCGGCCCCTACGCCGGCCCCCAGGGCTATGGAAACTACGTGACCTACGGCACCGAGGCTCCCGCTTTCTACTCCCTGGTAAGCCCCCTTCCACCGCCCCCCTTCCCGGTTCCGCTGCTTCCCGCCCGCATCCCCCCCGCATCCCCGGTTCCGCCGCCGCCCCCCGGGCCCGGCGATGCCGAGGGTGAGGAGCCGGCCAGGACGATGGCTGCGGGTCCCCCCGTTGCTGGTAGTCACCGGGGCGCTCTTCCCAGCCAGCCCTTGCGCCCCCCTCCCCTCTTATTCCTCCTCCCTCTCCCCGCATCGCAGCACCGTCCTGAGTTCACGTCCCTACGGACCCTGCCGCGCCGGGGGGGGCCCGGGCCGGGTCGGGGGGGGATGTCCCCCTCCCCACGAGCCGGGGGTCGGCGGGGGCTGAGGGCGGCGGCGCGGTGTCTCTTTGCAGAACAGTTTGGAGGCGAAGGACGGCAGCGGCTCTGCGCATGCGGGCATCGCCCCGGCGGCTGCCTACTACCCCTATGATCACACCCTCAGCCAGTACCAGTACGACAGGTAAGGGCAGCCCCGGCCCCCCTCGGGGACCCCCTTTCCTCCCCCCAGCATCCTATGCCCGGACCTTAGCCTCAGCCAGCGGCCGCTCCCCGACGGTCCCCGCCGGGTCCCCGCCGGCCGCCCCCTTCCCCGCCGCTCAGCCTCCGCACGTGGTCCAGTGGCGGGGGGGCTGCGGACCCCTCCGACGCCCCCTCCTTCAGTTTGTTCCCGCATGGAGTCAGGAGTAGGCGGCCGGCCTGCCCTGCTGCCTTTATCAGCTTTAACAGGGCGCAGAAGGCGCTCAGACGCCGGTGCAACCTTTGAGGCCCATTGGGCGCCGGTGACCTTTGCTGGAGGATGTGCATTAAATATTCAGTTGCAGTCCAGTGTCATCTACGTTAGGTTTATATATATATATTTATTTACAATTTCAGGAACAAAAGGGTAGGGGGGGTTGCTAATAAAAGGAGTAAGAGGAAATGTATTTCTATTAGCAGTTACACCCTGGGGTCACACAGACGTATTCTGTTTGGGAAGCACTGAGCAAAAAAAAACCAGGAAAGCAGGATTTCTGGCCATTTGCGAGCCGCTAGGATTTTACTGCTGCCCGAAAGGTTGACAATGACTTTGCCGTCAATAAAGACAGGAGTTTTCTTCCCTCTTTCCCCACAAAATCCGCGGTGCAGCAGAGCTTTACACTGCCCGGTGCTGGCTGAACGAGCCCACCGTCCTCCTCCTTCCTCGGCCGGGCCTCCCCTGGAAGCTGAGCTGTCCTCGCCCTCTTGTCCCCTCCGTGGTCCTGCCGTCCCCACCCACGGGGGGTGCTGCGTGTCAGAGCCGGGACCCGGGGAGCCCCCGCCCCGCAGGGAGGCATCAGGCGGGTCGTCGGGGGGCGAGGGCGGCGGGTCATGGTGGGGGTGCTCGGCTGTGCCCGCAGGTACGGCGGGATGGACGGCGGGACGCGGCGGAAAAACGCCACCCGGGAGACCACCAGCACGCTGAAGGCCTGGCTGCAGGAGCACCGCAAGAACCCCTACCCCACCAAGGGCGAGAAGATCATGCTGGCCATCATCACCAAGATGACCCTCACCCAGGTCTCCACCTGGTTCGCCAACGCCCGCCGGCGGCTCAAGAAGGAGAACAAGATGACCTGGCCTCCGCGGAACAAGTGCTCGGACGAGAAGCGGCCCTACGAGGAAGAGGAGGAGGAGGAGGAGGGCTCGCAGGAAGACGCGATGATGAAGAACGAGAAAGCCGAGGGTACCCTGCTAGGAAGGGGCACTTAGCGGCGCGGCCGCGGGGGGTCGGCCGCCAGCTGGCCCCGGGGGGGGCCTCGCCCCCTTGGCCTCGGGCTTCGCTGGCGGGGGCGCCCGCGGGGCAGCGCGGCGCCTCCAGTGACCGCGTGTCTTGTTTTTGCCGTCCCTTCCCCCCACCCCTCCCGCAGAGCCCACGGGCAAGGAGGAGAAGGAGCTGGAGCTCAGCGACCTGGAGGACTTGGACGCCGCCGAGTCGGAGAGCTCCGAGTGCGAGATGAGGCGGCCCTTCCCGCACCCGCTGCCGCACCCGCACCCGCTGCCGGGCGGCGGCCCCCCGCCCCGCGCCGCCGAGCCCCCCGCCAAGCTGCCGCTGCCGGCCGCCGTCGACGAAGAGGAGGAGGAGGAGGCGGAGAGGGCCCGCAGCTGCCTGAAGCCGGCGGCCGAGGAGTGCGAGGCGGCCTTGCTGGGGGCCCGGCCCCGCGGCTGCGAGCCCAAAATGTGCTTCCCGCAGGGACAGCAGCTGCTGGAGGCGAAGCCCCGGATTTGGTCCCTGGCGCACACCGCCACCTCCCTCAACCAGGCCGAGTACCCCTCATGCATGCTGAAGCGGCAGGGGGGCTCGGCCGCCACCGCCGTCTCCACCCCGGTCAATGTCATCGACAGGCACCAGGATTCACCGGTCACCAACCTCAGGAACTGGGTGGACGGGGTGTTTCACGACCCCCTGTTCAGGCACAGTACTTTGAACCAAGCCTTGAGCAACACCACGGTGTCCTGGGCTACCACCAAAGGAGCCATTCTGGAAACGGGCGCCTTGGGACGCTCGGTGGGCAACGGCGCCAACGTGCTCAAGGGGCAGATGTCAAACCTGGCCCACCACGACTCGAGCAAGGAGTTTATCGCGTTTCCCAAAGCAGGAAGCAAAATGTTTTGCTCTTAACGGCCCCACTGAGGGGCAAAGAACTTCCCTGCACTGGAAGAGTCAGCTACACTGAAAAGAGACTTGTGAGAGTTTAAATATAAATTTTTTTCTTTCCTTTTTTTTTTTTTTTTATTTTTCCTTTTTAACAACAGAAACGAGGATTTAAAGTTCAGTTTGCTCAGTTCAAAGGACAGACGACTCACTGCTCTTCTGAAGAATTAATTTCTCCTGGCTGCGACTTTAAGGGATCAATGTCGTGAAAGTTATTTAATTCCATGTCCAAAAGCACGTACTATAGCGTAGACCTACTTACAAAGTTTACATCCAAAAGTTTACAAATGAGAAATTTTAATTCAGATTTAATTTAAGGCATGCCGATATTAGTTATAAAGACTTTTTGAGAGTTTTTCCTCCTAATTTCCTTGTTAGCATATACTTCACAAACAGCACTTCTACTAAGTTTACACCTACTGCACAAATTTATCTTGACAGAAAAGAGAAATATGTTAAAAAGGTATGTTCACTCCAATAAATTGTCTGTTTCAGAGGTAACACGCGTGGTGGCCTTTTGCATTGCACAAACATATTCCAGGTTTCCAAATTCCCTCTCCGGCTCGTTTTAAGGGCTGCCATGAGTGGGAAGGGGCTCGGCCGCTCCCCGTGGCCTCCGAGAGCCTCCCACACCCGCAGACCCTTCCCCGCTGCCGAGGAGGCTCGGGGCGGTGTGTTTGGCGAGTGCGGCAGTGGGCACCCGGACAGCACCGAAGGGGCCGGAGGCGCCGGCCGGGCCGCAGGTGTCCCCGCGGCTGCCATCGCCCGCTCCGGCTGCGAGCGGGGGCCCGGCTCTGCCGCGGCGCCTCCTCCTCGGTGCGCGGAGCCATTGATTCACGTGGAAAATTTGATCTTTTAAACAACCGCTTTAGCTTTCCAGCTCTTCTGCCAGGATGGGGAATCGCTGATCCGCCATGAATATTTCAGCACTTCAGGACAGATGCTTTACCGTTTTGACATTAAATAGAGTGCAGCCAACAAAAAGAGAGAGAGAGAGAGAGAGCGCTCTCGACGTGTGATTCAGGAGCACTCGCAGCCAATTTACCATTTAGATAACAGGCGTTTAAAAGATTTCCCTTACCCTTCCCCGGAACGGGAACAAACTTTTCCTGATTCCTGGACCGGGAGAGGGGGGAGAACTGCCGGAAAAGAAGCTGCCAGGCTGTAACAGCCCCCGGTTTACCCAGACCGGGCCAGATCCCTGGGCTCCCGCGCCTGGCGCTGCGGGGGGAAAACGAAAGTGCCCGAAGGACCGAGCTGACACCGGACAAGCAGAAGAGCCTTTCTGTCCTCACCCACCCCCCTTCTGTCTGAAATAAATGATAAATGAGAATGCAACCTGGGGGATATGCACATATGTATTAAAGGCGACGATGAATGTAACCAAGGCAGTACCCAGCCAAAATATAACATCCTCCAGCCAGCAAAGTTTCTAGCGAGACCTGTTAGTGCAAGGACTGAATAAAGGAATCCGGGTGCGGAGATCAGATCAAGCCCTTCCCCTCTCTGCGAGCAGCCGTAATTGGATTGTATCCAGTCATATTCCCTGTCATTGTATTGACTTTCGCTCTCTTGGATGATATTATCGAGATCACTGAACCCCTCTGCTGATCTGGCTGTCAAAAGGCTCAGACAGGAGCCCCCGGCCTGGAAAACGTGCATCAGCCAAGATAATTTGAAGTGAAATTTTCATTTTGACAGTAAACCCCTCAATTTCTAAAGGCTCTGCACCCGGAGAGCTCGGTGGCAGGGGGAGGCTTTACAGAAAGCCACGTCTTAAACTGAAAAGGGCAAAAGAACTCGAATTAGTTGTAATAGATAAAAGGGCAAAAATAAAGAGTCAAGGGTACTTGACAGTAATAGCGAAAGTGGAGTCTCCGGGGAGCCGCGATCTCAGCTCAAGGCTGGGCCGGCAGGAATTTTAATGCAGCCGGGGCGGCCGGCGAGCTTTGCCTCTGAAACCCTTTAGACAAAGCAAATTATTTTCAGCCCAACTAAGGAGGTGGGGATGAAGGAGGCGAGGAAGAGGAAAGGGAGGAAAGGCGAGTAGTCAGGCTGCCCTCAAGCCTTTGGTGGAGACAAGCGGGACGGGGGGTAAAGGCTGCGTGCTGTGTTGGGGGGGGTTGGGGGGATTCAAAGCCGAGAAATTCAGGGAGATTTACGTGGATGCAAGAAACGGGTGGGGTTACACCAGGTTTCCCGGTGGGTTTCAACACGGCAAGTGCGGCAAGTAGAGAGATGAATGGCGAGGGCTCCAAAGGTCGGGGGCAGGTGGAGTCGCCGCATGGAACTGAGGGAGGCGCTGCCCCTTCCCGGGGCGAGGAGGGGGCTGCTCCGCTGCGGAGCCAAAGAGCTCGGCCCAAAAAGTGCCGGACTTTGCGGAGTACTGGGCAGGGCACGCAGCCCGTAGGCTGGCATTTTACAAGTGATTCATACCTGTAACACACTAGCGGTTATAAGTCACTACCGAGCGGCGTCGGCGTGGTCAGTAATGAGATTTGGTCAGCTTGTGATTTGGGAGGCAACGCCTCCTCCCCAGGACTCAAAATGAAGATGACAGAACTGTGGGCAACGCGCAGGCACACTGAAATATCAGAAACCAAGACAAAATCGGACCAAAGCTTTATCTCTTCATTTTCTTATCACTATCATTATAAAACAAGTCTGAGTTAGTTTTTTGTCTATTATATAACATGACCAGATCCCTGTGGACTACGGGACCGGCCGAGTATTAAATCTGGTAGATAGGGGTGTGCGTGTATGCATGAACTGATACACACCGAAACGTTACTTATGTGAGAGGAGTCTGTAGAAATCGTGGGGGAGGGAAGACAGTTTCTTGCTTTGGTACAGGAACCTTTTCTATAGATCAGCCATCAAATACAGTGATCTCTCAAAATGTTTTTAAAAGTATGAACAAAAGAGTATGAGAAATTAATTTTGCCATTTGACTCAGTAGCACAAGTCAAAGATCAGGTTCAGCTGCCTTAGAGGAGGCTACAGGGCTGAAAGGGAAAGACACGCAGCTCGTATGGCTGTACAAAGAAGAAATAAAAAGGCAGGCTGAGAAAGAAAGAGAGGAAAAAAACGTAGAGAAACGGCTTGAAACTGAGAGACTCTAAATCATTCAGCCATGGCAAATTCAAACACACAAAGGAGGGGATGCTAAATTAACAGTGCTTTTTACATAGAGCCCAAATAAAACTGTAATCAGCGACGCGTTACTTTTCATTAAGCGAGTTTGACAGCAGCATATTCAGCCTCGACAAGGGAACAGGAGCGAAGAAATATACGGCTCTCCCAGCCCGAGTCATAAGATAATTCCTTAAGCTCCATTAACAACTCTTAGCCGCAGGAAATGGGCTCCCTGAAAACATCTCCAAATCTAAAAGCTTTATCGACCTCTCAAACCTCTGCTGATGGTTCTATTTTTTTTTTTTTTAAAAAAAAACTTAGAGGCGAGACGTCCAGCAAGGTAATAGACTTTGACACAACACCTTCTTAACTAGAGAGAGAGAGGCAGGGAAAACGAGACCTTAAATGATATTTAAAAGGCAGCCAATTAAGATTTAAAATGATTGTCTCCTGAGATTATGCATGCGATTTATGTCATCTACTTTTTTTCCCAGGCATGCATGCAAAATTGCAATGGGTCATGCTGCCTGTTCCTTAAATAAATAAATAAATAAATAATAATAATAGTAGTAGTAGCAATTATCAATCTGTAACTATCTCACATAATTTTAAATGTTAATTTAGGGAACGGCTGGTGTTTAAGTTCTACCTGATTATAGAACACCTTGCAACAGCCAACTTGTGTATAGGTACCTAATTAAAAGGCAGCTAAGGTGACGTCCATTTTCTATTACTGTTTAGGAAGACTTTTCTTTTTATCCTGAGTTCATATTGGACTGTTAATTTTGTGTGATCAATTCACCATTACACGACCCAGTGTAACAGCTCCTTCCCATCAGCTACATAAAGAGAGTGTACAAGAAGACTTCATCTTGGCAAGAGTTTGAACATTATGCATTTTAAAGATATAACAGTTCAGAAGGAGACTCTGACTTAGTACAGTCTTTTTGATATACATTTACCTTTTCCATTTAAATCTGACCTTCAAATAATGTGTGTGAGAAAGTGTATTCAGTTAAATGCCAAGAAAAGAGTTAATGCTCACGTTGTTTCATTTCATGCAGAAAACTTGGCAAATGTGAGAAAGGACTATAAGTCATTGATTTTGTGAAGGATCAGAAACTGTTTCAGTGAGTTTGACTTGTGGATGAATGGGCAGAAAAATAGTATTTCAACCATCACTCAGTTTAGGCCAGAGTTTAGGCCCTCCCTTAGATGAAGTTAGTACAATGTGATGAGCTTGAATCTGAGTACTCTGTCTCTTGAGGTTTGTGTGTGTAACTTCACACATAAAAAAGTGAAGAATGGAGGGATGTTAATAATGAAATTACAAATTTCAATGTGTCTGATAAAAAGTGTAATACTTGTACTTCCTTTTCAAGAGGAATCTATATTTTTACGGAATAGCTATGGTGAAAACATACATCCTGGAAGTGTGACATCTGGTATCAATTCCTTCTTTGTCTGAGGATGTTTTAAGTCACATTTAATGTCAAAGAAGCTGTGAAGTGCTTAGGACTTGTGGGAAGGATTCCCTTCGTGCTCCTTGTGAGGTTGCATCACTGCAGAAAATAATTCCAGATTTGTATTCCCCCAAGATGCAGTTTTAATATAGTCATCCATTACGTAGGTCTGGGGGTATTTTGGTAACACAAGGAGGCCATTTTCCATACCATATAACTATCTAGCAAATTCTTCACTTGGCTGAGATCTTGAAGAGAGTGTACAAGAAGGCTGTTCCACATAGCCTGAGGAAGAAAAAGAAGAGGAAACACCTGGGGGAGATTCAAAAGCAAAAGATGAAAATTGCTTCCCAGTGTACCCCCACCCTATTGAGAAATGGATTGGGGCTGGGGAGTAAAGAAATAAGCCTCCATGCAACCTAGAGAGTTGTTGTATGGTAGCGAGCTCCACTGGTATTCTTCGTTCCACAGTGGGGAACATAATCTGGGAATGAAAATTGCATTTGACCTACTTACAAGGCTCAAGAGTTATTTTATGTCCATCCCAGTTTAGGGAAAGAATGAAAATGAAGGAACTATCTTGAAGGAAATAATTTTCTTAACATTCATTTTTCCTCATATAAATACTTGAAAAATATTTTTTGTACCGATTCGGCTGGACATGAATGAGAGCATAAAATCCTTCCTCAGTTTTACCTCTGTTGTCTTTCTCCAAATCAGTATATCATTATTTACATTGTGAAACAGATATATTTTAGTTGCAGTTGGCAAGTATTTTGTCACTGGCTTCCATGGAATAATGATCAGACCATTTCTTAAAGAATATCTCAGAATTCAGTTCTGAAATACCACCAAGGGTGATGGAAATGGAACCGAGGAAATACCTCCCACCAACATTACTTC